CACCTTCATTTTATTGAAGTCAAACTATAATGAACATAATAATTAAATTATGAATAATTGATCAGTATTATAATGTAAGATTAAGATTTCGGCACTGGTTATATGATCAAATTATTTCGTATATTTTTCTAGTGAATTATTATAAAAAGTAAATTTTATAAACAACAACTAGATANATAAAAAGTAAATTTTATAAACAACAACTAGATAAAAAATTACACTATAAGAAAAAATCTGGTGTATTTCTATGATTACAATTTAAAATATTTTTTATTCTTACAACTACTATTAAAAAACATGCCTTAGTTAAATGATTCCCAAATTATTGTCTTAATGCAATCAACAAAATTAAAATTTCAATTAATTTATAACACAAATACAATAAGTAATAAACCTATAATCTCATAGTAATTTTAATGAGTAATATGCGTAAATAAAAACGTATGAATTAATTTTTTAACATGCATAAAATTATAAATTAAATACACAACATTCATAGATTTGAACTATTTACAACTGTAATTCAAATATACCTATTTCTATAATAAATTAATTATACAAATCAAGTAGTTTCAGTTATTATCGAGATGGACATATTGCCTATGCACTCAGACCTGTTGGTATATTTTTATACAGAAAACTATAAAAATCATTTTTATTTAACTAAATATTTATAATTTTATCTCAATAGATTTTATAGTTTGTATTAACGTTTTTGATTAATAAAATATTAATAAAATTATTAGGATAAGTGATATACAGTGTATGGTGTAGAGATGAATACTTTAACATAAAAAAATATATACAAGATACATAAAAAAAAGTTTTAAAAAATTTTATTATTACAAATATTTTATCTGATAGACCGTTCATTTGTTATAATATTTTAATACATAGAGTGTACTACAGGGAAAGTGCACATACACCAGTTTGAGCTGCAACCTCATTTTTTTCTTTCATATAATCAAACTAAAAATAATTTTAGAATATTTTATCCCTGAAGGAATGAATAAATACACATAAATTTGACTACATAGTATTGTAGTTTTTATGAATTATACAATTTTTTTCTTTACAAAAATAAAAAAATTTTAATAGTATCCAAAAAAATGAGTCTTAACTGTAAATTAATCATCTATAAATAGCTTGATTTATTAGGTATACAACCCCTTTTTTTCGTTGAATAATAATTTTTTTATATAAATGCATACATTAAAATTTATTCTTATAAACAATTGTAAATGTAAAATAAACTAAAAGAACATATTATTCTTAGTTGTAGTTTTTAAGGGTAATATTCGAAAGTTAAATGAAAATCTATTATTATTTTTCTTCTATTATATGGAAAATAGTGTAAATAATTATTTTTTTTTTTTTGTCTATAATCAGTTTTGTATTATTACTTTTTGATTTATTAGCTTTTGAATATTTAGAAATTGTGATGAGCAAAG